AAAAGGATTAAAAAATGAAAAAAAATTTTTTTTTTGTTTTTAACAAATATCGAAGTGTGACACATGTTTCTACTTGCATTATTCAAGGGCTTTTCAAAAATATAGTTTTTAGAACTGTCTGTCTGTCTGTCTGTTAAGTTACAAAAAAGTTATGGGCTATTTTAGATATTTTTTTCACAGATCGGACTTTTTTCCGCCATGTAGTAATAGTGTCAAAAATAAGAGGGTTAGGAGAAAAAAACTAAAGGGGGAGGGAGCGCCCCCCCCCCGGCCTGTTTAGGGTTAAAGTTTGCAGCACGTTGTACATTGTTAGTAATCGATGTTTGTAAATAAAAAACCCATTTATTCATTTGAACTGCGTTCTAATTAAATAGATAGCATGTTTAGCTTAATTGTGTGATATAGTTAACGATGTAGGAATTTTAATTATGTATATTGATTTAACTTGTAACCTATAAACCTCGTATACAAATAAGTTAGAACTCCGCTTTGATTACAGTGAAGAGTAATTGTATCCCGTTGAGTATTCGGGTTGAGATCATACCTCGCTTAGGGTAGAGATCGAGTAAGGGCTCGATAAATAGCCAATAGCTTGTTGATAGATACGCTTGTTTCCCCGTGTGGCATTTAGAGCCTGAGTAATAGCTAGACTGATAAGCTATGCTTGTGTCTCTTTGTGGTATTTAGAGCCTGAGTAGTAGCGAGATTGATAAGCTATGCTTGTGTCTCTTTGTGGTATTTAGAGCCAGAGTAATAGCTAGACTGATAAGCTATGCTTGTGTCCCTTTGTGGTATTTAGAGCCTGAGAAGTAGCGAGATTGATAAGCTACGCTTGCGTCCCTGTGCGGTATTAGAGCCAGGTGGCTTGTGTCCTAGTTGACTTGGAGAGCGGATTGACTGTGCCTGGACTGATACAGTTTGATACAGGGTGGTCGGAGTTCTCCCTACAAGGTGGTAGGAGTAATCTCTAAAGGGTCGTGGGATTACTCTCTACATGGTGGTAGGAGTACTCTCTACAGGGTGGTAGGAGTACTCTCTGCAGGGTGGTAGGAGAACGCTCTACAGGGTGGTAGGAGTACTCCCTAGAGGGTGGTGTGGAAGGAGTACTCCCTACAAAGGCTGTATAGAGTATAGTACTCCCTACAGAGTCGCAGGAGTTCACTCTTCAGAGGGGGTAGAAGTACCCCTACTGCAAAGACAAATTAAACAACTGTTTAGTTTAAAATAATGCTTTTATCATTATTAAAATCTAATTTATGGAGTGCACGGTAGCGTGAAATAGTTCCTGTTATATTCAACTTTATATATATATAATTACATTTTTCAAAACCTAGAAATTATGCAAAATTTGTTGTTTTTGTAATCAGAATGGAATGTTCATTTAGTTAACGGCATTTACCGGGGTTTTGTTAATTATCGTTGTTAAATAATCTCAATCTCAACACGTGAACGGAAAATTTTCAACAATTGTTACTGGTTTTACTCATTAACGGTCATTAACATTATTCATGTCGCAAAGCGCCGAAAAAAAAATTGTTAACAGTTAAAAATCATTAACGTCGTTACTGTTTTTACAAAAAATCCGTTCCGTTTTCGTTTTCAACCATTAATCTTTTTTTAAAACGGCTAATCCATTTCGTTAACGGTTTAAAAATTAACGTTTTTTGCAGGTCGTTACCGGACTCTTCCGTAAATTTTCGAAAACCTCCTGTTCCGTTAACGGAACTTTGCCCAGTCCTAGATATACATTACTTTATGTATATATCTATATCTATATAAATAAAGTTGTAATTTCTGTTTGTCTGTCTGTCCGATCATAACTAGGGAACCCCTGGACAAATTTGTCTCAAATTTAGATGAGGAATCTTGGGAGAACCACGAGAATGTTTTTAGGTTAGTTTGGAAATTCTAAGTTAAGTGGATCGACTTTAATCGGTAAAATAGTTATAACTTACGACAAAGCGCGGGTATTCGGCGGGACTAGTTATGACCCCTCTGTGCAAAGCTGGGTTCCTGCAACTTTACAAGGTAGTTTTTATACTTCATTACCGACCATTAACATATCAAAAATATAATTTAGGACGTTAGATGTTGAAACCACACATTAATCTTTAATTATAGAATCATTTACAAAATATGAACATACTTTAATTTAAATAGTTTCATATTTCAAAACTTCCTAAATTTAGTTCAGAACATTTGTATCCATTCTTATCATAAATTTTCATAGTCAAACAAAAATTCAGATTTTTTCATTAAAATCGGGAAAAAAAACTTTTTTAGTATTTTTAGTATTTTTAGTATTGTGATTTTAAATTCATGACCACTAGGGTATCCCAAAATTTGGCAAAATTAACAGTGGCAAATCAAATTCTTTATCTTGCACTTTTAAAGGTTCATTGGTTGTTTCAGGTCTTTCAAGTGTTTTACGTTAAAATAAAAAAAAAACATATTTTCTAAATTATTATAATTTTGATGAAAACGTGTCTAAACCCTGAGTTTAGGGCAAAGACTTTCCAACTCTGGAATATTCTGATATTTGTCTGGGTGTCTGTTTGTTTATTTGTATCCAATAAACGTCAAAACGGCTGAACCGATCGCGCCCAAATTTTGTGTGGGATTTCACGTGTGCCCTGGGAAGACTATAGATGATCAAAATTAAAAAATTTGCCTCCAACAAAATTCGATTTTGATTAAATTTGAAAATCCACGAAAAATCTGCGAACTTTTTTTTTACAATGTATACAAAGAGAAAATGAATAGAAGATGTTTGTTAACATTAACTATAGAGAAATGGGTAAAGATTAGATCATGGCGCCTGACCCCCAAGCATTTTAGGATTATAACATTAAATTTCTATAGAATTATTTTTAAACAATTGATTAGAAACATTATTTTCCCTTTCACATTCGAATATTTAGTTGACCTTATTCTTATAATTTTGGATTTAGTGTAAAAAGTAATAATAATAAGTATAACAATAACACGTCCTGTATTGTATATATATACATATACTTATACCTATATATATATATATATAGGTATATACTAGGCTTTCAGAGTTTTAGGGCACTTTGCTTTGCATTCCTGTTTAAATTGGTGGATTTTAAAAAAATAATTGATGTCAACATTATGTTCCAGGATAAATTGTTCATTAACCAATCCATCCGAAAACCTTCTATGAAGTAATATATCGATATAGCTGTCAGAGTTGAGACATTGATAGTTTGTGAGATCCGAGTTGAGACATTGATAGTTTATGAGATCTTGTCAGAGTTGAGACATTGATAGTTTGTGAGATCTTGTCCGAGTTGGCACATTGATAGTTTGTGAGATCTTGTCAGAGTTGAGACATTGATAGTTTATGAGATCGTGTCAGAGTTGAGACATTGATAGTTTGTGAGACCCGAGTTGAGACATTGATAGTTTATGAGACCCGAGTTGAGACATTGATAGTTTATGAGATCTTTTCCGAGTTGGGACAAATTGATAGTTTATGAGATCTTTAACTACACGGACAAGTAGAGAAACAGATAAACAGACAAGTAGAGAAACACATAAATAGCCAAGTAGAGAAACAGATAAACAGAAAAGAAGAGAAACAGATAAATAGGCAAGTAGAGCAACAGATAAACATAAAATTAGAGAAACAGATAAACAGAATAATAGAGAAACAGATAAACAGACTAATAGAGAAACAGATAGACAGACTAATAGAGAAACAGATAAACAGACTAATAGAGAAACAGATAAACAGACTAATAGAGAAACAGATAAACAGACTAATAGAGAAACAGATAAACATAAAGATAGAGAAACAGATAAACAAACTAATAGAGAAACAGATAAACATAAAATTAGAGAAATAGATAAACATACTAATAGAGAAACAGATAAACAGACTAATAGAGAAACAGATAAACATAAAATTAGAGAAACATTTAAACAGACTAATAGAGAAACAGATAAACATAAAATTAGAGAAACAGATAAACATACTAAAAGAGAAAGAGGTAAACATAGAATTAGAGAAACAGATATACAGACTAATAGAGAAACAGATAAACATAAAATTAGAGAAATAGATAAACAGACAAATAGAGAAACAGATAAACAGACTAATAGAGAAACAGATAAACAGACTAATAGAGAAACAGATAAACACAAAATTAGAGAAACAGATAAACATAAAATTAGAGAAACAGATTAACAGACTAATAGTGAAACAGATAAACAGACTAATAGAGAAACAGATAAACATAAAATTAAAGAAACAGTTAAACAGACTAATAGAGAAACAGATAAACTGACTAATAGAGAAACAGATAAACATAAAGATAGAGAAACAGATAAACATAAAATTAGAGAAATAGATAAACAGACTAATAGAGAAACAGATAAACAGACTAATAGAGAAACAGATAAACATAAAATTAGAGAAACAGATAAGCAAACAAATAGAGAAACAGATAAACAGACACATAGAAAAACAGATAAACAGACTAATAGAGAAACAGATAAGCACAAAATTAGAGAAACAGATAAACAGACTAATAGAGAAAAAGATAAACAAACTAATAGAGAAACAGATAAACAGACTAATAGAGAAACAGATAAACATAAATTTAGAGAAACAGATAAACAGACTAATAGAGAAACAGGTAAACATAAAATTTGAGAAACAGTTACACAAACAGAATTAGATAAACAAACTAGGCAAGCTAAAAAAAGATAAGCAAACAAGGAATCAGAACGCATTAGAGCTTTAAACTGTAAATATTAAAAAAAGTCAGCAATCTCATAAATATAAAAAATGAACATATAGACTGTTGTGAATAAGGAAAATAGTATTATAAACCTAATCTTGAATCTGGAGATATTGATCTAAAACCAGGAATCCCGGAAACCCTTGTAGACAGGTTTAGGAAGTGTAAGTACTAGTTTAAACTATTGCTCTAAGAGAGTTGAGCGTGTGTGTTGCCGGTATCGTATTTACGACACAGAGATAGATAGATAGATAGAAGATAGGACACAGTTTGGTATATAAAGAGTATGGTGAGGGGGGAGAATCAGTACTTCATAAACACTCAACATGTACAAGGTACAACAATCATACTTTTAAACATTTAAAATACCTTTTTTCTAAATTTAAAAAAAATCTTTAAAAAAATGTTGGTAGTGCTAGAACTTAAATTATAAACTTATGACATATATTTTGACAAGCCATTTTGTCGTCTACTATATTCCTTTCGCCAAAAGTTTGTAAATTGTAATGCATTTATAAAATATTTCAGTTATACCAATTAAAAATTGAATATCCTAATTTGAATTAGAGATGTAACAAAGACTACAAATATTGATTAGTTTTCTGATAACTACTGTCATATCACATTCCCAAATTAATTAAATATATTTGACAGGATTTAAGTTATAAACTCTGATTTACTAATCCCTATGTCTTTGCAATCCAATGTTGTAAACCAAGAATATTTCAAACTATGAGTTCTGATAAAAATTAAATATCAAAGGTTTACACCATCTGGTTGCAAAAATATAGGGATCAAAAAATTTGAGTTTGTGGCAAAGGCTTATTTTCCTTAGACATGAACTAACTAAAGTTTGTTTTCTTCAGAGCATAATTTGTTATGGACAACAGTTTTTCTTTTCATTTGTATTTTTTATTAAAATATGTATTTATTTTTTTCTATTTTCAGCTTCTCGTCGCCTCTGCTCTGCTCGCCCTTGTGGCTGCTGATGGACCCCCTGCCTATGGACCACCCGCTCCATACAAGGAGGAGAAGCTTGCTCCCCAACCCTTCGCCTACGAGTATGGAGTCAATGACGACTACAGCAAGGCCAACTTCAAGAAGACCGAGACCCAGGATGCCTCCGGAAACGTTGCCGGATCTTTCGTGATCGCTCTTCCCGACGGTAGGATCCAGACCACCACCTACACCGCCGATCACTACAACGGATTCATCGCCGATGTTACCTACGAGGGAACCCCCGTCTACCCCCCAGAGCCCGCTGGTGGATACGGTCACGCTGCCCCCAAGGCTGGATACCATGCATAAGTTCCAACTATACATACTGATATAGAAACCAATTTCCTGCGTTCATACCTTTATCCTTTCTGCCTTCCTACCTTCCTACCTTCCTGCCTTTATTCCTTTATCCTTTATTTCTACTACTGCTAGGCTTCCTGTCTAGATAGACTCAACACATCCTGTCTTCCTGCTGCTTCCATGACAGAAATGTCACAACTTTTAACCTGGTGAGCAAATTAGGAACTACAAAAGGTTCGCCTTGGTTCCTTTTCTGCTTTCTTCTTCTATATTTCTCCTCTATAGAGGATTGTTTATGTTTGGATCTTACCTTATTATTTATTTAAATATAACAGTAAACAAACGACCTTGTTTTATTTGAAAATAGTTGCAATTTAAACATATGTAATAGAAGTATCAATAATATTTTGTTCGTAAAGTCAATCCAACCGAAAGCTTTTTTAAAAATACGAACATTTTTATTTAAATGACAAACAGAATGGTATAAGTGTACAAATTCGAGAGAGATTACTAACATACTGTTCAAAATTTTGAACAAAATATTTGTAATTACAAATTACTTCCGGAAGCTCAAAATTTTGAACAAAATATTAGGTTTTATTTCCTTGGAATGAATTGTAGCAATTGGTTAGGTTAGAATAGAGATAGTATTTATAAAACGAAAGACACATTGAATTATTCGAATAATTCAATTTAGCGTTTAGAATAATTCTACGTTTGGTTTTAATTCAGTTTTATTATAACACTGTTTGAGAAGTAGTTTCATAAAACTTCGGCAAAGAAAAACGACATTTAGGTATAGAAGTATTCGCTAGTTTGTTCATCTACTTATAAAGTGAATCTGTCTAATCATTCAACTATTCACAATCATTGCTTTAGTCTAAAAGTCGTCTTTCTATTTCATAATTTTCTCGGTCCGACTATATACAGAATATCCATGCAGGGTATAAGGAAAAACAAAGTCGATGGCGTCCCGGAACGTATAATTAATAATGATAAGATTCCATCTATAAAATCTATGTTGCATTTCATTTGAATTTTTAATAAAAAAAATAAAGCGATCGTTCTTAATGTATAAGAAATTATTAACTAAGATATTAAATACTAGCTTGGGGACCCAGTCTTGCCCAGTGGCCGAATTTAAAGAATTTGAGCGGCGGTTTAAATATGGTTGGTTCCACTTAAAATTGTATCAAATGTTTCAAGATTTAAGCCGGCGCTTAATTTAAACCGGGTTTTTGCAGATTTAAACCGCGGCTCAAATTCTTTAAATTCCATCTCGGGTTACTCATAGTTACTCCTATAGTTACTTCCATAGTTTACCCGCACATGGGGTGATTTTATCCGGAAACCAAATTTATGCTATTGAAGTCGATTCACTCAAGTTGGACTTTAAAAGCTATGCTAAGAACATTCTCCTGGTTCCCCCAGATTTCCAATCAATATTTGAGGCAAATCGGCCAAGGGGTTCATGAGTTATGATCAGACATCCAAACAAACAAACAGACACCCAAACTTTTTATTTCTTGATGTGTTAATGATTGAAAAGAATTTTACCGAGAATAATTATACTTGTTTTCCTATTTTTGAAATATGTAATAAAAATAATTCATGTAAAAAATGTAGGAAAACATTTAATTTATCTGATCAAAAGAATGAATGAGGTATCCCGAGGAAACCTTTTTGAAAGTGGATTAATTTATATTGTGTTTTCAATATAAATTATTGCGGATATAAGGTACCTTGTGAATCGGATATGACGGGAGGTTCACTTTGAATTACGCCTACAATCCGTTAAAGACGTAAATAAACCTTAAATAATCAGACGTAAATAAACTGCTTTAAATAAACTGACGTAAATAAACAGACGTAATTAAACTGACGTAAATAAACTGACGTAAATAAAACTGACGTAAATAAACTGACGTAAATAAACTATGAAGATTAAACATACCATTTGCTCTGGTTAATGCAATGTCGGTCGTAAAAAAACATAAAATTAACATATTAAAGTTAAAAATTCCAATTTCAAGGTGGATACTGCATGCATACGGAAATTGTAGTCATTAAACCCAATGCAGTTTGTGTAAAATTATCCAGGAATGCATCAACATAACTAGGAAGTAGAGGGAAGTAGAGGGAACTAAAGGGAACTTACGGGAACTAAAGGGAACTAAAGGGAAGGAAAGTGAACTAAAGGGAACTTAAGGGAACTAAAGGGAACTAAAGGGAAGTAAAGGGAACTTAAGGGAAGTAAAGGGAAGTAAAGGGAAGTAAAGGGAAGAACAGGGAATTACAGGAAAGTATAGAGAAGTAAAGGGAATTGTAAATGAAAGTAAAGGGAACTAAAGGGAAGTAAAGGGAAGTAAAGGAAAGTAAAGGGAAGTACAGGGAACTAAAGGGAAGGAAAGGGAAGTAAAGGGAAGTAATGGGAAGTAAAGGGAAGTAAAAGGAAGTAAAGGGAAGTAAAGAGAAGTAAAGGGAAGTAAAGGGAAGTAAGGGAAAGTAAAGGAAAGTAAAGGGAAGTAAAGGGAAGTAAAGGGAAGTAAAGGGAAGTAAAAGAAAGTAAAGGGAAGTACAGGGAAGTACAGGGAAGTAGAAGGAAGTAAAGGGATGTAAAGGGAAGTAAAGGGAAGTAAAGGGAAGTAAAGGGAAGTAAAGAAAAGTAAAGGGAAGTACAGGGAAGTATTGGGAAGTAAAGGGAATTAAAGAAAAGTAAAGGGAAGTAAAGGGAAGTAAAGGAATTAAGGGGAAGTAAAGGGAAGTAAATGGAAGACCCCCAGATTTTTATTGGAGACCCAAAGACTTTCATTAAAAACCCTAAACTTTTAATGTAACCCCAAACGTTTTTATCGGAAACCCTAAATTTTCATCAGAGGTTGGGTGAAAGAGTAACAAGTAAATGGATGTTGGGGGAAAGGGTAGAGTATAAATATAAAGATTTTCGAGAAGTTAATAAAGATTTTGAAGAAAAAGAAAGATTTTGGTGAAAAATAAAGATTTTGGAGAAAAATAAAGATTTTCGAGAAAATAAAGATTTTCGAGAAAAATAAAGATTTTGGTGAAAAATAAAGAATATGGAGAAAATAAAGATTTTCGAGAAAAAAAGATTGTGGAGAAAAAATAAAGATTTTGGAGAAAAATTAAGATTTTTGAGAAAAAATAAAGATTTGAAGAAAAATAAAAGACTTTGAAAAATAAAGGTGGGGAGGGGTTTAGAGGATGCTAGGGTGGACTACAAGCCTACAGGATGTTAGGGTGGACTACAAGCCTAAAGGATGCTAGGGTGGACTACACGCCTACAGGATGCTAGGGTGTGAAGCCTACAGGATGCTAGGGTGGGCTACAAGCCTACAGAATGCTAGGGTGGGCTACAAGCCTACAGGATGCTAGGGTGGACTACAAGCCTACAGGATGCTTGGGTGGACTAGAAGCCTACAGGATCCTAGGGTAGACTACAAGCCTACAGGATGGGCTAAAGGTGGGTCGGTGTTTTACCAATTATAAAGCAATTATATTTTATTATAGTTATTTAAGCTACGCAGATCTATAATTTACATTTTCAAGAAAAAATATTTTAAATAGACATAAGTAATCTAATTAATTGTCATACAGATTTTTTTTTACCTTTTCCTAAGCCCTCACGAGTCTAGAGCAACAGAACCACTTAATGGCTTTCTAATGGGGTGAGATAGGGGGAAATACGTTTTACCTAAATTCAGAAACCCCCCCCCACCCTTTATAGGGTTAAAAAGTACCCAGTAAAGAGACCTTTTCATAGGATATCTCTTAGTAACAATTCCTGATATACTTCTCATAATTATGTATCTATCTATCTATGGTTGACCTTGATATATATATAGCTCAAGCTTCCTGAAATATAGGAACCATGGTGCCTATTACAGCCCAATTCCAGTTTAGAACCACATAAAATACTAATCATAGCTCTCTCTATATATAAACAATATCACAAAGAAACTGATTATATGTCACAAATCTGAATACCCAAATATATATATCTTCGCAACCTGATGGTGTAAACCTATAAAATATGTTAACCGTGTTAACCCTATCACGGTGGGGGGGGTCCCCCCTGTGGTTTTTAACAATTCACAGAGGCACCATTACACAGCTAGGACAAGAAAATACCCAGGCCCCTGTAGGTGTACACTTTCGTGCCCCTGGCCACTCATATGCAAATTTATCCTTCATTCCCATAGAGAAGATCAGGTCCAGGGATAGCATGGTCAGGAAGGTCAGGGAGTCATACTACATCCAGAAATTTAACTCAGTGAGGTCAGGACTGAACAAGAAAACATAATGCTAATTGCAATATTTTTTTTAAAAAAATTAATTTTGTTTGTTTTAAACTGTATGTATATGTATTACCAACAGTACCTTATAGTGTTGATCGAATTCATGTATTTGACCGTTTTGTCGACGAATTCTAACCCCTTCAACACCCCCCCCTTCCCCCACTGCATACGCCCATAAACTAGTCAATCCTTTTCCAGTCATTCAATACTCTTCAAAAGAGTAAGGTACGGTTTTCTAATTTTTCTTTTAAGTTTTATGTGTTTTGACAATATTCATTTTGAAAAATTCCATTTTACATAAAAATATTTTTATTTTTGTTCTCTTCTTTGTTTATTTTAGTTGCTGTGTTTGTATTTTTTATTTTTATTTTTTATTTTTTGCTTATATCTGTTATATTATAGGACAAACTCCTGATGATGCCAAAGTTTTTGGCGAAATATATTGAGAAGAAAATGATATAATTCTAGTGCTAGAGAGTAGGGTTGGGATTTGTTTAAAAACGATCTAAAATTTATTTTTAAGTTAAAATATGCTTAAAAACGGCCTATATTATAACGCTTAAATTTCTTCACTTTTTCAACATCATAGTTGTAAACTTATTGATTTTTTTATGCATAGGGTAGGGCGGAGGGCAGTCACACGGCGGGTCGGTGTTTCAAAAAGATCAGAAATGTTTAATAACTTTTTATAAATTAAGCTACAGGGCTAAAATTTTAATATTTTAAAAGCCCATAGAAAGATAAGTGTTTTAACACACACATAGTGTTACAAGTCAGCATATGAAAATGTTAAGATATTTTTTTTTAAACAGCAATTTATAATAAATATTTGAAAAGTTACTAGTAAAACTATTTGCATTGTAACAACATGAACAAAATTAAGTATAATTTCTTAAATGTCCTATTACTATTCCATAAATGTCTGGTTCTAACTGTAGAATTTGAGCATCACCTATAGTACTCACTCTTAGCCCACAGCTTTTCTTAACTAAGTAAATAAAAACGTTTTAGTTAAACTAAGAATCATTAATTTATAATTACATTTTTTAACATAAATACTTATATTGCAAACCAACCAAGATAGATAAAATGTTTTATTAATAAAATCTTTGCATTTTTATCTTCCGTACATCAAACTCCACTATTAGACTGAGACAGCGCTTCCTGAAAAACAAAGTTTTTTGAGTTTTAGCATTTATCGATGTTGACAAAAAATTTGTATGAAAAATATAATTCTTAAGCAAAAAAAATGATAATTAAAAATTTTTATATAATTTCCAAAATCAAAATAATTTACGTACATTATTGACACTACCATGATTGTGAGAGTATGTTTTTTCCAACCCCCCAACCTCTTGTGTTTTTTTCTACATAACTTAAAAATTGCTTGCATTTGATCTCTTAAACTTTATCACTTATTTAACTGCATAGTTGTGAACACATTTTTTATGCATATGGTAGAGGGTGAAGGACATTCAAAATTTAGAAGGTTTGTCTTTAAAAAGAATAAAAATAGTCCATAAACATATAATCTTGTATTCATCTTTAGTCGAGACTGAATAAGATGCTTGCTCTGAATATGGTAATAAACCGAAAATTTGCCTAAATGAGTTTTTGTGTTAACTGGAGCTGGAGATAAATTGTATTTATATAAAATTTATTATATATCTATAACTTTATATTTTCAAAGTTTTCAAAGAATCTTGAAACGTAAAACATTTTGTGTGGTCTTACAATTCTTTTTTTTTTTAAATGTTAAAAACTGAAATATAAATTTTTATGTAAACATATTTAAGTTTCTTCGTCATACAATTTGCGAAAAATAATGACTTACATTTTTCTTTTTTCTCATAGCAGCACGCTCCATTTTCATCTTAGCCTTAAAATACAATTAAAATGGTTAAATATTAAAGTTTAAAAATATCCTCTTTGCACCTAATGGAGAATCTTTTTTCAAATAAAACTTCCGAAAGCGGCAATAAATTGTTCTTGGTAATTTGATCGGAGTAGCTGATATTGTTCGCGGGATTTCAAAATTGTGAACATATTTTTTAAAAATATGTACAGGATTTTAGGAAAATTTTATAAGTTTCTGTTTTGGTAGTTAGCTCCAGTCGACATTACGAAAACAAAACAGTCAGGTTTTGATCTTTTGTTCAAAATTCGTTAAACAAAGTTTGAATTGAAATGACGTCAAATCTTTATGAAAAATAATATCTTTATATATATACAATTATTTTTCTTGTCTGTTTGTTTGTTTGTTTGTGTGTAACCAATAAACGTCAAAAGAGCTGAACAGATCGAGCTAATTTGTTTGTAAAATATTTTATGAAATCAGCAAACTTCTTTGTTATTGTTGTATCTGGATTTAAACAGCTTCAACATTTGATAAATAACGAAGTCTTGGTTATCTACTTTTGTAAATCAGAGAAATAATATTTTTCTCCTTTTTATCTTTGTCAACAATTAATTTTTTTTCATACTTACTTTTCTTCTAGATTTTAAAACTCTATCAAGCACTGTCTTTTTTTCATGGTTACATGGAGGTCCTGAAAATAAAGTCTTTAAGAACATCAAGCATATGAAATGATAAATCTAGAATTGGGCCGTTAGCTTTTAAATAAGTCAACTTAAATTAAACGATTCCACTGAGCAACCCTTTCATTTCAAAACAGACATTTAAAAAAAAAAACATCTCGACACTCTATTTTTACATTTTTATTTTTAAATTTTAAATTTTTTTTACAATATTTTTTAAATATTTATATGATATAAGAAAAATATTTTTACATTTTTTAATGCCTTGTTCTTTATTTTCTTCTTCTTGACTCATGAGTTATATCTGACTAATCAAAACACCAATTCCTGCTACTTTCTTGGGGGCAAGGGGGGGGGGTGAGAGCGAGCACCATCTCAAATATTAAGAGATTTCCCTTCCAATTTTTCCTGTTCAATTTTCTTCTTTCTTCTTGTTTCTTGTTTCTCCACTTCAAGGCCTCTCCAAATAGTTCTTGTGACATCAAGTTGTAGAGAAGGTAGGAGAGAGAAAATGAGGTTTGGTGGAGGAAGGGTTTGAGGGATTGCTTCCTGTTTTCCTTCTTGTTGAAGTCTATTCCGACTTAAACGGAATTTAAGGAAACCCAAAACTGCAATTCAACAAATGTTTGTTATTGGACTTATAGAGCGTAATATTGCATCAAATTTTACAGCGCTGCATAGGATTGTTAATAATTTTGAAACACGATCGAAAACTATCGTTTTTTTGTCTTTTCTAAAAATGATTGTTCCGTTTTTAGAAAAAAATATAGTTTTTGCAGAAACAAACAGTTTGTTTAGAACTTTTGAAAAAACGAAAAAACTATTGTTCTTTTTTAAATTGCGAATGAATCTTAGTTTTTCGACAATTAATTTCAATTTTTCAGAAAGTTTATTAATGTTGTCATTATTTTTTTTAACAAGAGAAATAACCTTTATATTTGCTTTCCTAAAGGATTTTTTGATCTTAGAATTTTCAGACCAAAACTGTCTTAAAAAGGTCGTTAGAGATCATTAACAAATGTTCGCAGTTACCGGTCTTTAACGATCATCAACAATTGTCAAAAATTAAAACCAAATCCCTAGATCCAATTGTATTCTTATGATTCTTAAGGCTTTGAATCGAGTGGTTCATGGCGAACTCTCCAATTTATTCAATTTGATCCTGAGCCGACTTAGTGTCTCAAAGCCTTTGCCTTAGGTTAGTCCGTTTGACTAGCCCACCTAAACTTTGTATAGTTTTAAATATAAAAACTTTAAGCTTTACTATGCTAGTTTTTAGATTAAGTTACATTGGGAGTATTTGGGAAAAACTTACGTGGATTGATTGGGTTATATTTTAATTCGGCTGCTGCTTTCTCATATCTTCTTGCTAGTTTATCCTCCCTTGCATTCATACTCTCACGTGTACTACAATATTACACTGTGAATACTCTCACGTGTACTACAATATTACACTGTAAATACTCTCACCTGTACTACAATATTACAATGTGAATACGCTCACGTGGACTACAATATTACACTGTAAACACTCTCATGTGTACTATAATATTACACTGTGAATACTCTCCCATGTACTACAATATTACACTGTAAATACTCTCACGTGAATTACAATATTACACTGTCAATACTCTCACATGTAATACAATATTACACTGTAAATGCACTCATGTGTACTACGATATCAAATTGTAGATACACTCACCTGTACTACAATATTAAATGTGAATACTTTCACCTGTACTACGATATTGCATTGTGTATTACAATATTACACTGTAAATACACTCACATGTAATACAATATTTCACTGTAAATACACTCAACTTTACTACAATACTATTCTGAAAATACTCTCACGTGTACTACAATATTACACTGTAAATACTCTCACGTGTACTACAATATTACACTGTAAATACTCTCACGTGTACTACAATATTACACTGTGAATACTCTCACATGTAGTACAATATTACACTGTAAATACTCTCACGTGTATTACAATATTACACTGTCAATACTCTCACATGTAATACAATATTACACTGTCAATTCTTTCACATGTAATACAATATTACACTGTAAATACACTCATGTGTACTACGATATCAAATTGCAAATACACTCACCTGTACTACAATATTGCACTGTGAATACTCCAACGTGTATTACAATATTACACTGTAAATACACTTACATGTAATACAATATTTCACTGTAAATACACTCAACTTTACTACAATATTATACTGAAAATACACTCATGTGTACATACAATATTACACTGTAAATACTTTCACGTGTACTACAATATTACACTGTATATACACTCACCTGAACTACAATATTACACTGTAAATACACTCATGTGTACATACAATATTACACTGTAAATACACTCACCTGTACTACAATATTACACTGTAAATACTCTCACGTTTACTACAATATTACACTATATATACACTCACCTGAACTACAATATTACACTGTAAATACACTCATGTGTACATACAATATTACACTGTAAATACACTCACCTGTGCTACAATATTACACTGTAAATACTCTCACGTGTACTACAATATTACACTGTAAATACACACACCTGCACTGCAATATTGCACTGTAAATACACTCACCCGTAACTATAATATTACACTGTAAATACACTCATGTGTAAATACAATATTACACTGTAAATACACACACATGTACTACAATATTACACTGTAAATACTCTCACGTGTACTGCAATATTACACTGTAAATACTCTCACGTGTACTAGAATATTACACTGTAAATACTCTCACGTGTACTAGAATATTACACTGTGAATACTTTCACGTGTACTAGAATATTACACTGTAAATACTCTTATGTGCACTACAATATTACACTGTAAAGACACGCATATGTAATACAACATTACAATTTAAATACACTCATGTGTACATACAATATTACACTGTAAATACATTCATGTGTACATACAATATTACACTGTAAATACACTCATGTGTACATACAATATCACACTGTAAATACACACACATCACATGTACTACAATATTACACTGTAAATACACTCACCTGTACTACAATATTACACTGTGAATACTCTCACGTGTACTAGAATATTACACTGTAAATACTCTCATGTGTACTAAAACATTACACTGCAAATACACACATTCACTGCAATATTACATTTTAAATACACTCACCTGTACTACAACATTACACTGTATAGACTGTCAATGTACAACAATAATTTATATAAAATCTTTTATTCGAGAAACTTTAAATTTTCAGAAATACATTTTTTTGTTTCTAAATTTACCTGCACAAATTAAAATCTTAAAGCTTTTGGTAAATACATATAACATTTTTCTGAAATTTCAGGGTTTTGAGATTGCACGTTTATCACACGATAGAAAAACATATTTATGTCAATGTGTGAAACATTATCAACATTTTTGGAAAGCTCTCGGGATTTCTAACGTTCAGTGGTAATACATAGTATTGGAATATTCAAATATAAACAAACAAAATATTAGTTTTAGAAGAACTATTATTTTAAAACGGTTAAACCTTTACGATTGAAATTTTTTTAATGGAACACGCTTTTCAAAAACTTCAGGAATTTTTTTTTCATTTTGTTGTTTCTAAACCGAACAAAATCGTTTAAGTCAAACCACCTCAAAAAAGTTTAAAATGACATTCATCCTAATCTACAATTCTAGATGAGATTAAAAAAGAGTCAATATTGATCAATAAGTAAAATGATGTTTTTTCAACATCTGTCAAAAGAAAAATAAATGCCAGTGGATTTTTTTCTTTTACGCAAGCAATATAAATTTGAAAACACACAACACATATCAAGCAAGGGCGTATACAGAAATTTGAACTGTAAATTCAAAACATTTGGCTTCTTGGCCGGATATCAGGCATAATTGTGTAATATACTTTAAAGGTACATACAGTCCAATTACCTTGCAGTACTACTTTATCTCTTTTCTAAAAATCTACATTTTATTATATGTTATTTTCGTATTTATACTAGAGATACATTTTTGAAAATAAATAACTCGGCTTAAACTAATATTCCATGAGATGAAAAAAGGACAAAGATCCAGACAATAATTATGACTTCAGTTCAAGATTTGAAAAGTGTGATATCTCTGAGTTCACAGGTTTAGGGGGAGGCACTGCCGCCCCAGCCCCCCCCCTGTATACGCCCTTGTCATCAAGCAACAACAAATTAAAAGAAAATAACAGTTCCTGTTAAATCCTGAATCTTAAATCTTATATCAGCAGCGCACTTCTCAACTAAAAAATTGCTAAAAATACACATACAAGTTATAATGTTACAGGTAAAAAAATTAAATAGTTATATCTGATGTCCCTGTCTGAAGAAATTGATATAAAACTGTATTTACTCATCAATAATTGGTAGAAACTGATTTTTTAAAACGAATTAATAATATTTATATATATTATATAATTTCAAGGTTAGTCCAGGCTAAGACAAGTTCTTGGCCGGCCACTTTGGCGGTTAGCCACATGTTCAACTTTAACCATGTTTTAAATATAAGCTCAATGAACAAAATCTACAGAAGTCCAAAAATCATTCTCTCGGAAAAATTATCTATTTATCTTCGTGTTTCAGAAGATTATAGTTTCATGAATAAAGGCCAACAATAAATCCAACAAATCCAAAAAACTGCTTTAATTGTGCCACTGACAATGTGTTTTTCCTAGTTGTGGATCATTTTTTTTTATAGCCATTAGAATACGTAGCAAGGGCGCATAAACTGTCGTCTTGAAATTTATTTTAAAATCTATGACAACTTCATCATTGGTCTGCACAAAAGAAAGCTGCTGAGGCCGTTCCTTCCTTAAACTATATTGGTCGACAACTTGACGTCTCCTTTATTTATCGTCAAGTGTACGGAGAAATTATCTATTTATCAGATAAGAATTTATTATGAGACATCTATCGGCCAACATATCGTCCCCCAAACTACGTGAACTACACTACCAATATCTATAGAGAGAAAGGGCTCTGAGATGTTTGCAGCTTCAAAGAGTTGAATTCAACTTATGAAAATAAATCCAAATATAATTGTAGAGTCATAAGTTGTTTGATAATTCTTAAGAAGCTGCTTTTTATTTTTAATTCAAGGCCTAATTTAATTAAACAGCAATGATATGATAAGCATGGATTTTTTATTGACTTTATTTCTCGCTAAAACCCCATTTATGTAAACGGCTTCTAGCTTCATTGAATTAAGAAAAATTGAATTATTTAATAAGAATATTTAATGATTAATTACCTTTCTACTTAGTAAAAGTATTTTTAAATCGAGACTTTAGACTTTCATAATATCCCTGAATTTAAAATGCATCAATCCAAAATTACCAAAGTTGAACTTGCCATAAATACATTAAAATATAAATGTTGCTGTCCAATATTAGAATCAATCGAACGTATTAAACTGAGATGTTTTTGGTCAGTTAAGGAATGTTTTGAATAAGGAAGTCAAAAGGAAGACATTTCTTTCATAACTTCTGAAAGTTTAAAACGTATTTTTTTCTAAAAATATAAGAAATTCCTTATTTTTTGAGAATGACTTCTTTTACAAATTTGACTAAGAATGCATTTTTCCTGGTAAGTAAACATTCGGCCTTGACGGAACACAGTCTCTCCAGCCCTATAGGGGAGCATTGGTAACATAGATAAAGATAGATTGCGCATAAGACGACATTTTTCATCTTCAAAGATTACAGACAAAGAGAATAGAATATACATTAAATATTCTATTCTCTTTGTGTACAGAGATGTTTTAAAGATATTCCTATTATATAGATTAACTAGGTCGGTTGTAAACATTGGCTGTTCTTATGTCATTGAGTACATGAGTTCTGTAAAAAGAAATTTAAGTTAGCTGAGTCCTTTTCATGTCCTTCTTCAGTTCTCGTCAATATATATTGCTGAGTGAAATAATTTGATATTCTCAAAATAAAATTCACTCCTGAGTGGTTTAATAATTATGAAATCCATTAAAACACCAAACCACCCCGCTTATCATTGAAGTACACTTAGAAGTATGCATTCGCGGACTGTACAACTCTTGGTGATTTTGCGTACATAAGCTATCTATGTATATTTATTTATCTATGATTGGTAACAAACATTTTAAAAACATTTTTTAAGAATGTTTAGATTTTTAATAAATTCATAATTGAATCCTGAGATTAAAAAAGCATATACTCATCAATAATTGGTAGCTCTTTATACAATATACTCCTTTTGCCGTGGTAATCAGAAACCTACATTTACTCATCAATAATTGGTAGCTAATTATACAATATACACCTTTTGCCGTGGTAATCAGAAACCTAAATTTACTCATCAATAATTGGTAGCTAATTATACAATATATACCTTTTGCCGTGGTAATCAGAAACCTATATTTACTCATCAATAATTGGTAGCTAATTATACACTATACACCTTTTGCCGTGGTAATCAGAAACCTATATTTGCCGAATTTTATCTAAAATGTGGGACATATTTTTAACACAAATTATAAACAAATAGCAAATGCCTCAGCGAGATACCATACAAAAAAGGAAAAAAAAGAAAACCTGTTTTATATTATTACATTCCAATATACAATAATATTGTAACAAGTAAATTTTTAACATTTAAAACTTTTAAATTTAAAAAAAAAACACACACAGAGCTTTCCAAAAATGCATTCAATGCATGCCCATTTTATTAGATTTTATAAATATTGTTTCTCGTAAGCTCTTCATGATAAAAATGTAGTGAGGTGGGTGGGCATGTGACATGTGGTTACCAAGTAAAAAAATAATTGTTATTAGTAGATACATGAAATAATTGAAATCAATCTAAACTATTGTATTTCTAAGATATTCATAAAAAATCAATTTACCAATTTTGAAGTTATACAAGATTTGATGCTATTTATACCTGAACTTATAATTTGAATATGTTTTATCCCATCCGTCCCTCTCTATATTTAAGTATTCATCCTCCTAGAAAATTATGATTTTGAAAATTTGGGTAAAAAAAATGAAAAAAGCACTTGAAAAAAATTTAGTTGGAAAAAATTCACTAGAGATATATTTATAGTATACTTTTAAGATGACAAAAGAAATGAGTTTTTGTCAAATTATCTTTTAACTATATCTTTTTCAACCCGTGATGGTGTAGTTCATTGATATTTTAAACTTTGAATTTGTTATCTGACAGAATTTACAGTTTATAACAAGGAGAATTGAATTGAAGGAGGGGGCGATTGGGTTTCCGTACACTTTGCTGTGACGTTTTTGGACTGCTGAAGTTCTAGTTTTTGCGTATAACAACAATAACAAAGGCAGCCGATCTAATGTAAACAAACATGAGTTAGTATACGGTGAATCTTCTAGAGATGCACCAATGTCTGTTTATCATTTGTGTTATTGTTTACAATCTTTATTATTGTTGTTACGCAAAAACTAGTTCTCCAGCAGTCCAAAAACGTTACAGCAAAGTGTACGGAAACCCAATCGCCCCTTCCTTCAATTCAATTCTCCTTGTTATAAACTGTAAATTCTGTTTAAATGGTTTATGGTATTGGGTTGGGATTTACGAAGAAAACTCAGTTCATGTCTTGAGATATATGTTACAACATGAATGAACAAGGCTTGTGTCAGTAGATAAAGAAGGATCAATTTCTATTTTAAATGAACTAGAACTTCATAATAAAAAAATAAGAAGTGGCTGAACTTCTTGTAAAAAGTTGAACCACATATATTGTTAACTTCTCGTTTAAATGTTTAAATAAATGTTCCATAAATGATTCAAAATGTTATAATGCTAAAACTTAAAAACTTCCATTATTCTTTTTGTAATTATTATTTTTTATCCTACCTCATGAGGTACAGTTACCAAAACTATGGGAAGATCTCTTGTTTTAGATTCAGAAATCTTAACAAATTATATTTAATTTTTTTCACATCTCAAAGTTAACATAATGTTCAGATTTTGTATTTGTTTTTCAAAATTATTTTCTTGTTTTGTGGCAATGCTTTAAGTGTTCCATGAACATAGGAATTAAAACAAATGAAATAAAAAAAGAAAATTTGATTGAAAGCGAGACGAAAAAATCATGAAAAATAGATAAATGAAAGAAAAAAGGACTCTTTAGACAATTTGACTGAAAGCATGATATAATTTTACGAAAAATCATGAAAAAAAGAAAAATGAAAGAAAAAAGGACTCTATAGACAATTTGACTGAAAGCATGATATAAATTTACGAAAAATCACGAAAAAATAGAAAAACGAAAGAAAAAAGGACTCTATAGACAATTTGACTGAAAGCATGATATAAATTTACGAAAAATCATGAAAAAATAGAAAAACGAAAGTAAAAAGGACTAGCTATAGACAATTTGACTGAAAGCATGATATAATTTTACGAAAAATCATGAAAAATAGAAAAATCAAAGAAAAAGGGACTTTATAGACAATTTGACTGAAAGCATGATATAAATTTACGAAAAATCGTGAAAAAATAGAAAAATGTAAGAAAAATGAATATAACAAAAGGTTGAATAAAAACTAACTTTAAGGAACTGTTAAGGTAAAATGAAAGCCTAAACATTTTAGGAGTTGATCGCGACCAATATCGTAATATAAGATAAGATGAAATATTGTTTTTTTTTGCTAAAAATACACATACAAGTTATAATGTTACAGGTAAAAAAATTAAATAGTTATATCTGATGTCCCTGTCTGAAGAAATTGATATAAAACTGTGTTCAAGTTATAAAGCAACTCATATATATGTAATATACTGAATGGCTATTGGTGGAAATTATGGTTGCGTAATACAGGCGTAGCAATTATATGATCAGGGACATGCATCTGATATGGCGGATGAAACTATAAAAAAGGGCGGATGAAAGTATAAAAAAGAGCGGATGAAAGTATAAAAAAGAGCGGATGAAAGTATAAAAAAGGGAGGATAAAAGTATAAAAAAGGGCGGATGAAAGTATAAAAAGGGCGGATGAAAGTATAAAAAGGGCGGATGAAAGTATAAAAAGGTGGATGAAAGTATAAAAAAGGGAGAATGAAAGTATAAAAAGGGCGGATGAAAGTATAAAAAAGGGCGGATGAAAGTATATAAAAGGGCGGATGAAAGTATAAAAAAGACTGATGAAAGTATAAAAAAGGTCGGATGAAAGTATGAAAAAGGCGGATGAAAGTATAAGAAGGGCGGATGAAAGTATAAAAAAGGGAGGATAAAAGTATAAAAATGGGCGGATAAAAATATAAAATAAGGGCGGATGAAAGTATAAAAATGGGCGGATGAAAGTAAAAAAAGGGCGGATGAAAGTATAAAAAAGTGAGGATGAAAGTATAAAAAGGGCGGATGAAAGTATAAAAAGGGCAGATGAAAGTATAAAAAGGGCGGATGAAAGTATAAAAAAGGGCGGTTGAAAGTATAAAAAGGGTGGATGAAAGTATAAAAAGGGCAGATGAAAGTATAAAAAGGGCGGATGAAAGTATAAAAAGGGCGGATGAAAGTATAAAAAAGTGAGGATGAAAGTATAAAAAAGGGCGGATGAAAGTATAAAAAACCTGATTATTAACTGGCACTAGAGAAAGCTGTCTTGTTATTGGTCTAAGAACAAACTTAACCAAATTTTCTCCCAAAGATCTAAAAATCCATAATTAGAATGTTTAAAGTAATTTTTTACCTTTTTTGTAATAAAGATTCACAAAATTTTTGAAGTTTGTCCCCAAACAAAAATAACTACAAAAAAATTATCTGATCTAATTTTTTTTTAAATACCTTCTTCGCTTTGGATTTGGGGATACAGAAGATTCTTCCAAAGATTCCTCAACGGTGAGACTTCCTTTGAAAAAAATTGAATTTTAGTACTCACAGCATAAACATTGTGTTCGCTATATTTCGAACATACATCGATATATCACAAACACAATGTTAGGTTTTGTGACAGTGTAATAAATTTAATCGGCTATTATCATAATCCATGGTGTCGGAAAGGTTAAAGCGGGAATAAAATTTCATCCATTTTAAAAACCATGTGATTAATCCATTAATCTATATCAAAGTGATCCTTGGTCGCATTAAATTATTTATTTGAATAAGCTCAATATTATTTATAGCGTAGAATAGTGTAAAAAAAACAATGAAAAATAATTTAGTTCAAAGTGTGGAAAGAAAAAATAATAAAAAGTTATTTACTTTTAAACAAATATACATTTTTATGGTGTTTATGAAATTAGTTATTGGCACATGACAGCAAATCTGACGAATAACAACAACAATTGTAATAATTTATAGTTTTTTATGATTAAAAATATTTTGTAAATAATTTTACATATTTTACAAACTAAATCTGACCTGATCTTTCCATGTTTGTAATTTCTTGTACAGCTGAAGATCCCAAACTGTTAGTTTTGGGAAAGATAAAAAAGCGAGAAATATAAAAAAACATGAGAAAACTCCAAATCACCAAGAAGAATAAAATCCCAATTTGTTCGTATCTTAACATGCTTAAAAAGTGATAAACATTAATTTCTGTTGCTTGCGTATGAGCTCAAAATGACAAAAAATATACTTTTTTTTTCGGTATAAAGGAACTGAGTTTTTGCAACAAACCCCAATTTTCAAAACCCTACATCTGTGCAGCCCAATGCCATAGATCTTTGATATTTCAAACTATGAATCCTGTTAGATCAAAACAGATATTCTGTTGAAATAGATATTAAAAGATTAGTCTTGAACCGCTAAAAAAATGTAATAGATTTAATAGCTTGAAGATTTCTACTTTTTAGTTTGAGTCCCGCTGAAAATAAAATTTTCAAAATATTTTGAATTTTTAAAATTTAATTATTAGTTTTTCATCTGATTCCTGTCAAAGTTTGAGAGAATTGATACTGAACCGTTAGAAGCTATTGATACCCGTCTAAAAAATTAAGAATAGTTTTAGGTATGGAGTGTTTTCCATTATCGAAAAAATGCACAGATTGTTTCGTTAACAACATGAAATAAACGAAACGATCGTATTTTAAAACAATCGTTTTTGGAAAAAATGTTATTCATTAAAATAAAAAACTACTAGTTTTATGTTTTACTTTGCGTTTCTTTAGCGAATGTTAACGTACGTTGACGATCGTTAAAGATGTACTTTTTTAACGATAGTTTTCAACATACCTTTTTTATTGTCAAGAAGCTTTTAAATTTTCTTGTAACGTTAAGAACATAAACTTACCGCCGAATCTTTTCAAAAGTAAAATCAAATTTTTTTGGAAACATTTGCATAAAGCGATCCTCTTACAATATCGTCGTTTCGTTTTCCATTTTTCAAAAGATCAAAACGAACATTTCATAAGTTTTAACCCTTTTTTTTAAACGAAAGTTAGTAGGTTTTGAAAAATAAAAAAAAAAATTTTAAAAAATTTCCGATTTATCAACCTTGAATTTGCTGATGATGTTCTACCTCCTTGTTTTCTCCCTCTACCCCAACCTAGAATTAGAATTAGAATTCAAATTAAGTTTATTGGAAGATTTCTTATTTTTGTTGCTTAACCCTATCCCTGCTGGGGTACTTGAAAACCAGGATATGCTGGGGGGGGGGTTACTTTGACACCCCCCCCCCTATTATAAACCCCATGTCTTACAAATATGACAAATGATACATCATTGGATCGAAAGCTCTAATATGCTCTACTTTTAGAATCTTTGCAAAACTTGTGCAATCCCTTTTGTCATATAAAAAGGAATGTCGTTATTCTCCATTTAAAAAAAGGGGGGCATGCCATATTTACAACCTTATATGAAATATACATGTTTTTCTTTGTAAAAACTGATCATTTTCATTTACTGGTTCTCTACAAAAATTACTTTCTTCAATCTAAAAACCTAATTCTACGAAAAAGACTTAATTAGAAATGAGAAAAATTAGAAAAAAATTCCAAATATTTTATTGCTGAGTTAAAGTTTGTAAATTACTATTGTGAATTTATTTGGTTAATATAATAATAATTTACTAATAACTTATTTAGATTTAGAAATTACGAACTTGGAAATGGANTATGACAAATGATACATCATTAGAAAGATTCAATGCTAAATCAACTAGCAAAGATCCTGCTCGTATGCTTCAACTAGAACCCAAGCTATCTTTCAAGCTATTTTCGATTTAATGCTAAATCAAGTAGCTAAGATCCTGCTCGTATGTTTCAACTAGAACCCAAACTATCTTTCAAGCTATATTCGATTCAATGCTAAATCAACTAGCAAAGATCCTGCTCGTATGCTTCAACTAGAACCCAACCTATCTTTCAAGCTATATTCGATTCAATGCTAAATCAACCAGCAAAGATCCTGCTCGTATGTTTCAACGAGAATCCAAGCTATCTTTCAAGCTATATTCGATTCAATGCTAAATCAACTAGCAAAGATCCTGCTAGTATGTTTCAACGAGAACCCAAGCTATCTTTCAAGCTATTTTCGATTCAATGCTAAATCAAGTAGCAAAGATCCTGCTCGTATGCTTCAACTAGAACCCAAGCTATCTTTCAAGCTATTTTCGATTTAATGCTAAATCAAGTAGCAAAGATCTCATATGTTTCAACTAGAACCAAAGCTTTGTTTCAAGCTTACTATGCTTCGCAGATAACGTAATCAAAATCCGAGTCTCAATCAACTAATTTTATTTAATAGCTTAGGTTGCAAGGTTAACAGGAATTGGCGTAATTCAAATCCTACTATGTTATTGAAATCACATGTTTAGGACCATCGTATTATCTATTTAAAGTTTAAAGATTAAAGAGATTATGCATAACGAAGTAAATCTATCTCTGCCCATATTTATAGCGTAATTTAAGTATTTTGCATAATTTAAGCTAATCATGTTGAAACGCAGTTTCAATGAATAATATCATTATGTCTAAGTTTTAAACATTTTTGCTACATATGTAGATCTACAATCTTTAATCAAGCTTTTCGGGCGCTTCGCAACGATGTCTTCTTTTTCAACTTTTAGTTTTGGCTCTATTTGGGAGCATCTTCTCTTTATGAAACATAAAACAAAAAAGTTCCCTTGGATGTGATGTCCCCCCCCCCCAAAAAAAAATGGGCCTCATTGGTTCATCCAATTTGACGTTTATTGGTTACAAACAAATAGACAGACAAGCAAAGTATATAGATAAACCTGAGATGGGCTAATAAGGATTAACTCTTGAGAACTGGTTGAACTCCTACTGGAGAGATTTATCTCACTTTTCTCCCACCAGCTTGGAGTAGGTTCAGTTACATCTAGACTTGGATCAACTAACTCCAGGCTTGCTATCTCCTCCAAGTCCGGAGTACTAGAATATATTTTAAGATTTACTATGGGCAAAGTTTTAAAAGTTTTGTCATTGTAATTGTCATTTTTCTAAATAAAGGTATAATTCTTTGTTCAGAATAAAAAAAATTGGTCTAATTAATTGGCTCTATGATGGAGGG